ATGACTGTCATAAATAAGATCTTCACTTGTTTATGGCATGAACTCCCTCGCTGGGGTACGGCACTGAATTTAGAAGAACTAGTTACCATCTCAGTCATATCTCATAAAAAATGTGGTCTACCTAGGAATGTCCTGTGAGGGAAGGACACAATGACAAAGGAAGGGAAGGTGAGTTGTGATAGTGTTCAACACAAAGTTTAACAAAGCACCTTGCACAAAACTCACTCCATCCTACCCTCCTGTGTTAAATGACAACTCACTATAGAAAAAGACTTAAGGGATATCAACACAAAAGAATAAACACTATACTCACCCAGAAAACTGGAGCATTCTCTCCCACTTCTATATAATTTCTTTTCTTTACATAGCAAATTGAACAAAACAAGACTCACAAACCCACCATGACAACAACAACAAAAAAGGCTAAAACTTCATCATATATCCTTCAGATTTTTTTAAGAAATGCAATATTACAAATCCAGATGAAGTCTTCTTTTATACCCCACCCAAATTCCACCCCTTCTTTTCCTTCCCAAGAGGCAACCAATCCCATGACTTAGTCTAAATGGTTTCTATACATTCATAAGCCATATATGGTATGGTTTCATGTGCTTTAAATTTTATGTTAAGAATATTTGATATATTAATAACATTAAAATTTATATTGTATTTATCTCTCTTTTTTTTTTTTTGCACTTAACATTGTTTTAGAGGTCCATCTGTAGAGTTACATAAAGATCTAGTTATTTCATTTTAGTTGTTGTGGTCTAACAAATTTATACCACACCTTAACATCTCTTTGAAATTATTTCTTGGGTTTTGTTATTAAAAAACGATGTCCACCAATGGGTGAGTGGATAAACAACTGTGGTACACGTAGATATAAGAATATTATTTGACCATAAAAAGGAATGAAATACTGATACATGCTGTAATGTGAATGAACCTGGCAGAAGAAGCCAGGTTAAAAAAGGTCATACACTGGATGATTCCATTAATATTAAATAGGCGACATAGATAAATCCATAGAGACAAAAAAGCAGATTCGTGGTTGCAAGGGGCTGGGGGAGGAGAAATAGGGACTAACAGTCCGATGAGTTCAGGAGTCTCTTTTAGAGTGGTCACATGTTGTGTTAAGTAGAGGTGATAGTTTTACAACACAGTGAAAGCACTAAATGTCTCTGGATTGTTGACTTTAAAATGGTCAATTTTTCTTAAATGGTTCATTTTAAGTTATATGAATTTCACCTCAATTGAAAAAAAAAATCCTGGGCAGGGGGTGTCGCTCAGTGGTAATATGTGAAGCCTTGGGTTCAATCCCCATCATGGCAAAAAATAAAAATAAAAACAATGCAGTAATAAACTCTTATATGCATGTTCAAGACACACTACTGGCATGCCCCTGGTGCGAACACCGGGTTTTAATTTTACTAGATGGTGCCATATTGTTCTCTAAACTAGGTAGTTCCTATTTCTGCTCATTTTCATCACACGGATGGACTTTTTAGTGTTTGCTAATATAATAAGTATGAAATGGTATGTCCCAGTCATTCAATACACCCATCCTGGATGACCACTGAAGGTAAACATCTTTTCATGTGTTGACCAGGATAGGTTCCTCTCCTGAAAAATACCGATTCACTCATTTCACTTCCTAAAATGCCATAAAAGTATATTTATTGCATAGCACCATTAATGCCTTGGTAGTCCTAGGATTTGAAAAATAAGGTTGAGAGTTTTAAGGGTTTACATAAAAAATCAATGCATTCATGCCCATCAGAATACCGTATCTCAAGACAAGGTTCACAGCCCAGCATCACAATTTGGCTGTTGAAACTAATGCATGTTACAGAGTACATGTTCCTGTTTGTTAATGGACAGTTCCAATTTTGTGCAAATTATACTACAACCTAAGATTCATGATCCTAAGGAAAATGAAGGGGCTGGAGTCTCTGGCTTAGAACAAAGAAGCAGAATCCATTTTTGTTTTATGTGTAAGAGAAGGAAAAAAAAACAAGAATTTTACTGCCTCCTGCCTCCTCCAGACAGCGTGGCAAATGCGCACACACAAACGCAAATACTGCACAGTGATGATGGCAACAGCTCTGACACACCTTGGAAAAGAGAACAGCATAAACTAAACAGAATTATTCATATTTGAATACCAAAAATAACTCTTCCCCTAGGGAAGGCAAGTATATTTTGATAGTAGGAATTTTTTTATTAAAATTGTAAATCTTATTGCTTATTCATAAGTCAACTACTTTTATATAAGACAATCTTTTTCATATTTTTTCATGTACTTTCAAACCAGGTACGTGTGTCATGAAGGCATCTGCATCTAATCGTGCCAAAGAGAAATTGACAAAACCTTCATCTATTCTTTATGTGTCTGAGAGCTGACCACTACAGAGATTCAAAATTGTGTTTGCAAGGAGGGTGAAGGGAAGTCTCTTAGCAAAGGCAACTGGAGAGTGTGGCTGCTTTTGATAATATACACAATGCGATTGGTAATTCAAAAAAGCCGTTAACCTAGGACCTTCAGAGTTGCTGTGGTATGTGGTTTTGTTCTCTTAGTCTGAACTTGGATGTATTTGAAGCAAAGGGAGTTAAAAAAAAAAACATTTTAAAAATAAAAACAATGCTTCCCAAGGATGAAAACGTAAAAGGGCCATAAAGTGTCCATCTCTGTCCCTCTAGTGTTGTGCGTCCTGGCTGTGGTTAGTCATTATCAAATCGCAGATGTGAAAAGGCTGAAGTGATGGTCCCCTGCTCTATCAGAGCTGCTGTGCAGCAGATCTGCACCTTCCCTGCTCCATGGTAAGAAAAGTCCTTTGGTGTTAAAAACAGACAAACATCAATTTCCTTCCATTTAAGGCAATCCTGTGAAAAGGGTTTCTTACTTTTCCTCTGTTGGGGAACATTTCCCCATCCTCCACCAGAAAGATGAATTCATCCATGATACAACTGTGTCATAGGTCTCCCAGTACTCCCACTTTACAGGCCAACTCCTCTATCCCCAAAAATCTCCAGCCACAGTCTCAGTAGAGAGGTGTTCGGGGAAATCCCTTCTCATATCCAGGACTGTTTTCGGTGGACCTATGGCCACTTGGATCATGCATGTCAACGAGGAAGTTAAGTCCTCACAATCATGTGGGGACTGTGAAGGATTCACTCCTGCCTGAACTCCTCCAGTGGCACAGGTGTCTCTCCCAGGTGCCCGCCCAGCCCACACCTACAAGATAAACAGTCACTTATTGCCAACAACACTCCAGGACCTGATCCCTGTGTGGCAAACACTGATCATATGTCAGCCAAGGGTTAGTGAACCATCATGGCCACCGGCTTGGAACTTTTTGAGCAAACTTCAACAAAGTAGGTCAACCATAAATAAAAGTAAATAAGAGAAACTCAACAAGTCCTGACCCAGAACCCTGGCCTTTTCAGTACAATACCACTCAAGACAAGCTTATTCTAAGTCAGTGGATACCTGGCTAGCTTGGTAAGAAGAAGATAACACAGGAAAGTGGAAGGTAGGGATAGGGAGGTGGGATTGCTCAGAGAAGGAATATGTTCCCGGAATTCTTGGTTAGAACAAGAATATTCTCAAAAAAAAAAAAAAATTGTAAACTAAGATCAAATATCATGGTTGTGATTTTATTTTCTCTGTATTAAATACTTTCATGATTCAGCATAAATATATTTCCTCCACAGAAAAAGTGTATTAAAACCTAAAACAAGTTTAAAAGAACTTCTGAATGCCATATATTTGTGAGCTGAAAACTTGTTCTACTACAAGAAAGAACTGTCTCCACCACTCAGTCCATCATTGGAACCATTTTTTCCCCCTGCTGGTGATGAAATCAACTGAACTTTTGAGCATTTTAATCGAAAAAGAGAATGAAAAGTCAACTTTTACCTCCTTCCATGTTCCTGTTGCACGACTGCCTTAGGTGAGTTTTAAGCAACTTGTGGACCAGAGGTTATACCCATGATCAGCCTGTACTTCCTGCAGAATAACTACCAACACGTGTTAACTAGTTGCTTTTTAACTGTCAGCCTGCCATACCCCACCACCACTGGAAAGCCAACCTCCTGCAGGCAGGGACCTTGATTTGTTCAGCAATGTGTTCCTGTGCTCAGAACCTGCAAGGCACACAGTTCAATGTTCTGACTGCAAGAATGAGTAAGTAAGTGGCTGGCTCTAGTAGGTACTAATAAAGGAATCTGAATGAAATGCCTTTCTGACATCAAATGGGCCCTTTAAGTTGGCGAGAGAGGAGTAAACGCCTGCCTGGAAGCTAATGTGTAGTGATCTTTTAAGCATATGGAACCCACATTTTTAAGCTGGGATGTGCAAGCAGGTTCTGAGAATTCTATACAATAAAGAAGGGATTCCATCTGGTAGCCACATATTGCAGATGGCAGTATTTGGCTTATAAAATTCTCAACCCAAGGCTGGCCTTAGGGCTGAATGATCCAGCAGAACTTAGAAATAAACCCTATGCATTCAAGCCCCTGGAATAGGAAGCCCCCTGAAACCCAGAAAAGGCTGGTAAGTAGATGCCCGGAGCTGAAGGAGGCCACCCTAGATCCCGCCTTTAGTGTGTCATCAGAGCCTTCTCTGTGTCCTAGATGCCAAGGTGACAGCGCCACAGGTTACAGTAACATTTCCCTTTCATTTTTGCAGCCTGTTTCAGGTAAGGGTATTTGGCTTCCCTTACTAACCAGCGCCGGGGGCTTCAAGTGCCTCCCCTAAGCCCTCCAGCAACAGCCCCAGGTGGCGGGGTGGGAGCCGGAGTCGAGCCCGCGAGGCTCTGCGGCCCGCAGGCGACCGTGGCGTCGCAGGACCCAGGCCACCGCGCCCTGCCCCGCCCCAGCGCGCGCTCCACCCCGGCGGGGAGCAGAACGCGGGCCTGGGCCGGGCGGGGCCGGGAACGGACGCGGGGCCCGGGCCTCCGGGCCGGCCTCGAGGAGAGGCGTGGGGGCTGCGGACTCACCTGCAGCAGCACGGCCAGCAGGAAGCACAAGTACATCTGGTAGATGCCCATCTCCCCCACCGCCTGGAACGCCTCCTCCACCTCCATGGCCGGGCGCCCCGGAGCCGGCGCCGCGCGAGCCCGGGGAGCCGCGGAGGCAGCGGGGAGCGGCGCGCGGAGGCCGGTTTCGGGCGCCAAGGGGCGCGCCAGGGGCTGGGACCCCGCCGCGCGCTGGAGATGCGGGGCTGGCTGGTGGCCCTCCCCGCGGGCCTCCGGGCTTCCTGTCAGAAATAATTTTTTGAGAGCGACTGCTGCGTGCGTCGGCTCCAGCGAGAGGAAAGAGGAAGTGGGTGCGGCGGGAGGCGCCCTTTGGGATGGAGAAACACCGGGAGGGGCGGCATCGTGTGCGCTCCGCCGCCGGGTTCTCGGGCCGCCACGGTCGGGGGCCTGGACTAACCAGCGGAGCGCGGGGGTGGGAGGGCGCGGGGCCGGGTGGAATTCCCTCCCTACTCTGTGCTGGCCTTGGGTGAAGTGCCCAGATACACTCGCTTATATAAGTATGCAGCAGGCGCAAAGTCAACACGGAGAGCTAAGAATAGTCTGTAGGGCAGTGAGGGTCACCCAGGTATTTAAAGGTTGCATGCGGGGCTGGAGAGGTAGGGAAAGACGTGGCAGGGCAGGGCCGAGGGGCACTGATGGCCCATCTTAGTCCCCTTATGCCCCCCTCTCAAGCCAAAGTGTTCTTTTTAACAACTGCATAGTATTCTGTTGTCCCTACAATGACCCTGATACAGTATTGAATAGAAGTGGTGACCTGGGCCTGTCCTTGTCTTGCCAGCATCTTTGTTATGCTTCAGAAATTATCCATTAACTATTATGTCTATTGTAGTTTATGGGTTGCTGCCCTTTGCTGCTCTCTTTGAACCATATAGATTTAGCTTGTTCTGGGAGCAGGGATGCTCTTTAGTGGGGGCTGGGAGAGGAAAAGGGAAATACCACTTTTACTTATTTATTTCTACAAATGCTTGTTTAGTTTTTCTGTTGCTTTTGAAATAGGCTTGTTCACAGTTTTCTCTTAGGGTTTGTAAAAATCATGCTCTCTTTGTATTTATGTCCCGTTTTTCATTCTTAATATTGTTCTTTTTTTGAGAGAGAGAGAGAGAATTTTTTTTAGTATTTATTTTTTAGTTTTCGGCGGACACAACATCTTTGTTGGTATGTGGTGCTAAAGATCCAACCCGGGCCCCACGCATGCCAGGCGAGCGCGCTACTGCTTGAGCCACATCCCCAGCCCCTAATATTGTTCATTTTTATTGTCGCTTTCTTATTAGTCTTGTCTAGAGGTTTGTCTACTTTGTAATTCTTTTAAACAACCAACTTTTGTGTTGTTTCTCTTTCTATAAAGAAATATATGAATATAATTCTAATAGGATATAGTTCATGGATTCCATCAATTCTTTTCATTGCCTTTTGATACTCTGTAATTCTTACGCTAGCTAAGTGATTTGAAAGCTTATTTACTTTCTATTCTTTTTTTTAAGAATAATTCCATTGAAAGATACACACTTCTATGAATTACTTGTCTCACTAGTTTTGTTAGTGATACTTTTGTTTAAATAGTTTTAATCTTTTATGACTGTAATTTGTTGGTTAATACCAATAAACTGCCAGGCACAGGTGCCCATAATCCCAGCTGCCCAGGAGGCTGAGGCGGGAGAATCACCAGTTCAGAGCCAGCCCCAGCTCTTTAGTGAGGTCCTAAGCAACATAGCCAGACCCAGTCCCAGAATAAAATATTGAAAGGGATGGGGATGTGGCTCAGTGGTTAAACACCCTGAGTTCAATTTCCAGTACCAAAAAATTAATTAATTAACTATGGTTAGTGTGTTTTAAAAATAGTTTCCAGTTAAAGGTCATTACTATTTTTTTAGCTTTTTGATTGGTGTTTATCCATTTAAATGTTTTATGGACAAAGCTAATATTAAATACTGGAAATTGTTCTCATAAGAAAGCTAAAACAATAATATGTAGTCATTTTTAAATGTATTATATGTCTTGAAAATAATATATGGTTTCCATGTCTTCGGTGCAGAATTTTATATAATCTAATAGACAAGGCTTGCTAATTTTATTAGAGTTGTCTGTATTATTACTGAATTGTAAGATAGATATATCAGCTTTTAATAAACATCAAAACCTTCCAAAATTATCACTCTGAGTCTTTATCTTTTTTTCTTTATAAGCTCATAAAAGTACTAACTGAATCATTCTTTTTATCATGATGAAAAGCTCTTTTCTCTTTTAATGCTTTTTTGCCTTCATTTTTATCTTGTCTGATATTAACTTTGCTGCGTCCTCTTGTTTTTGTAGTTATTCATGTTTTCCTTGTCACCTTTGATTCTTGTTTCATCATTCTACATTCATCCTTTTGGTTTTATTCTGCTTTAGGCATCTTTATGGAAAGAGGTCTTCTTCTTCCCATCCAGTTTGCTAGTCTCCATCTTTTAATAAGAGAGTTAAATTCATTTATATTTATTGTGAGTGATATAATTGAAATGATTTTCATCCTCTCGTTTTGTGTTTTCTGTTTGCCACCTTCTTTCTTTTAACTTTCTGTCCATCTGTTGGGTTGTTAGAACTATTTTTATACTGCCTTCTCTTTTACTATTTTGGGGAGCTCTATTATTATTATTATTATTATTATTATTATTATTATTATTCCTACATTTTTAAAAAATAGAGAGAGAGAAAAGAGAGAGAATTTTTTAATATTTATTTTTCAGTTTTCAGTGGACACAACATCTTTATTTTTTATTTTATATGGTGCTGAGGATCGAACCCAGTGCCCTGCGCATGCCAGGCAAGCGTTTTACCACTTGAGCCACATCCCCAGCCCCTATTCGTACATTTTTGATGTCCACATAACCATACACTTTTCCACAAGGCTGATTGTTATTTAATATCTCTCTCTTATTACAGGTGCATGCCTGTAATCCCAGAGGTTCTAGAGGCTAAGGCAGGAGGATCACCAGGCTCTAAGCAATTTAGCAAGACCCTGTCTCAAAATAAAAAATAAAAGACAGGGGACGTGGCTCAGTGGTTAAGTGACCTGGGTCCACTTAACCACTAAAAGAAAAACTGAGAAAAACTAAGAAAGACATAAAAGTGTTTTGTTTTGGAAAACTCTGTTAGTTAAGAAGCGACTATAATGATGCTGAAAGTACCTACATGGAAGATCTATAGGAAGTTGTTTGATTAGGAAGAAAACTTCCATTACTTCCATTGTTAAGAAAGATTATTCTTAACTTAGAAATAATAGGAAAGCAAGAAGGGTGCAGAAACGGAAGGGACAGGCCAACTTGCAGACTTTTTTTTATATTCAATAGGAAAGATAATCTATCATTTCATTGTCCTGTGGGCATTAACTTATTGAGTATATAATCTAGCAATCCTAACATTCTTTTTTTTTCCCCTGTAAATAACCATTTTCTGAAATGCTCTTAGAATCAGCTTTACTCTATTAGTTCCCTCATCAATTATTGAACTGAATAAAATCCTTTATGTGAGTTCATTATGCTTTGGAAAAAGAGTCATGTCTTTTTAACTTTAAAATGTTTTCCCCCTTACATCATGAGGTGTTCATCAAGTGAAAAAATCAGTTGTTAAAATTAATATTTTACATGACACATAGTTAATACGTTGTTTAATTTGAAGTTAGATTCTTTCATTACTCCCTAAAATTTTGTGTATATTTTAAGAGAACTAAAAAATCAATTTTTATTCACTCATACTCAGACATATATACCAGATGCATATGGTGAGGACAGAAAGTACAATCTGGGGAGTATCTGAAATGGGGCCACAGGGTTGATAGAGGACAGATATGCAGTGCTAAGAAGCTGGACACTGTCCTATAGCCAATGGGGAATCACCGAGGTATTGTTCTAAGTTGGAGTGACGTGATTTAAATAAGACAAGTTGACAGCAGTGGAAATGGAAAATGCATCTAACACCTGTTGAGAGACCATTATAATGGCCTTGGCAAGACCCAATGAGAATTTAAGCCAGAAGAATGACTATAGGAATGGAGAAGTCAAGTCATACTTAAATAGTAAAATCTGCAAAAGTTGCTAGTGATTGCATTTTGCAACTAGAGATTAGGAAGAAATCAGCAAGGACTCCCATTTTCGGTCATGGTTGCCAAACGGAAACAGTAGAGGTATTATTAATTGAGATAAGTAACACAACAGTGGAGTAGGTTTGTGGTGGAAGGTGGAGGGGCCTTTGACAGGAATGGTGGGGCCAACAGGCATTGCTCTTTTAAATCGCGATTGCCCCTTTAAGATCCTGCCCTTCCCCCTTAACCCACTCAGGCCCCTGCTGGATTTCCATGCCCTAATTTACAGTCTGCAGCAGAGCATCTGAGCATGCGCTGGAGGAAGAACCAGACTAATTAAAGCTCTCCTGAGGTTCAAGGTACTGCATCTGTGTCTCTTAGCAGAGTTCCATTTTGAGAGCATGTTTTCCCCCATCTGACCATTTTTTCTCATTTTTCTTCTTTTTCAGTCTTTTTCTACTGTGGTTTTGTAGTCTCTACATCTTTCTTTCATAACTCAGGAGTAATGCACATCTTTTTTTAATAATAAAAAATTAAAACAATGTTTAGAATACAGCATCACCTAAACACCCTTTGGTTCATGAAAGGAAAAAAAAATTAACTATACTTGCTAAATTACATAAAGCTTGGAAGCAAATATAATCAATTGTTATCTTTTTTTTTTTTTTTTTAAACTACAAACCCTGTGCACCTACTACCCACTGTCATGTCTTTTGCTTCAATGGTAATTGAGTGACCCAGATGGCTACTGAAATTTGATGTGTTAGATAAATGGACTTTATATATAGGAACAATTCTTTCAAATCCTTGAAAATGAATGCTTTCTCCCAGCCTAAATGTACCCAGAGGTACTGCATTTTTAAAAAATTCCAAAAAAAAAAAAAAAAAAAAAAAACATGTTTCTTCTGTGTAAACCTTCATCATGCTGAGAGCGCATTTATTGATAGTTTGTCACAGCAGCAAACCATAATAAGGAGAGCCAAAGTAGGAATACCCATGTCCACACTAAATTGATACAAACTCAGCAATGGGATGGGAATGAACAGATCACAGGAGAGCTGGAAGTATTTCCGGGGAGCTGTCTGGGAGAAAGGAGAAAGAAGACAAAGGGAAGAAAAACAAAAAGAAAATGGAATTAGCAGGGAGATGGAGGTTTCCCTGTCTTTTGGCCTCTCAAAGCTACAACTTTCATTCAGAAAACATCGTTAAGTGGTGAAAAGCACATATTAAAATAGATCCAAATGGAGAAATTGGCCATTTTCATGTCTCTAAGCTTAGCAAAAAAACAAATGGGTGTAAGTAAGTAGAGCTGGGTCTAAAATTCAGGA